GTAGTGTCCACATGCGGCCTCAGGGAAATACTCTGCTGTATCAGTGGGTACACATGTGGGTTGCTTAGGAGGTGTAGGGAAATGTATGAAAAGTTGGTGTGTTAAAAATGAAAATGGAAGCTGTGGTCTGGTTTGTCTTAATGGTATTCATTTTCCTTCTACAGGGTGGTGCCCCGAGAGCTCCTCCCAAGCCCATGTGATGTGGATGAGCATGAAGATCCTGTAAATTTCTACATTAAAATAAAGACTCCAAAAGTCTGAACTGCCTCTGGTGCTTTTTTTTCTAACCAGGTCATGATGGGTTTAATAGGAACTGCTGTTGCTGTCGACTGTGGTTCTTCACTCCCAAGTGGGCTTGAGGTCTAGTTCTCCTGCAGTTCAGCAACAGTTCAGATTCATTGCATAGACCAGCAGAACACACTAGAGTCTAGACCCCTGTTAAGGGGAGAAGAGTTCTGTGTAATTCTGAATTGAGTGCTGTTCTGAGGTCTTTGTGGTGAAAAAGTATTGTTGGTCTGACAAGGGGGCAGTCCTTGTCAAAGCAGTCCAATGGAGGGCTCCTTCATTCCAAGTTGACTTTTAATTACATAAATTAGCTTCTTGGCTTAACTTGGCCAATTGATCTTCTCCCAGCTCTTTGGGTGCTGTTGCTATGCAGCAGTGGATCCCTTCCCTGGTCCTGGAGATCCCTATGTTTTTATAGGTTTTGCTGCAGAGGAGCTCTTAATTGCAGGCTAATTTCAGTGTTCTATCTGTGGCCTAGGTCTAAATCTAAACTCATTAGATGCTGACCTAAATTTGCATTTGTCAACCTTGAAGTGATTTTAGATTCAGAAGTTACCTTAAGTCTGACCACCTGGATCCATAAAAGGAAAATAAAGCCATGTTTTAGTCTTTCCCACCTATGGGCTGAAATTATTAAAAGTGCTGCCTCTGAAGTTGGGCATCTTGGAAACTCGGGCCTGAAACAAGGTGCCAAAAGCCTGAACAAGAAGGCAGAACAATTAGTTACTGGAGTTCTAAAGCTCAGCTAGAAGCAAGAGTGGGGGGATACCCCAGGGCTGTTCGATAGGGTGCTGGTAATCATGTAGACAGCATCCTTTAGGGACCGGGGCTGGATCGCCCAGGTTTAAATTTGGATTTTCACAACTGCGAACAATGTGCCATAAAGATGAGTGTCCACGTCCAGTGTGCTTGGGCAAGGGGTGTGCCAGCCTCTGGTGGTGGGAGCATGGCAGAGATAAGTCACAGGAAGGTGAAGGTATGGTGTCCCCCTTGCTACAGCCCCACAGTGGTGCCTCTACAGCGAGCACCATTCTTCTACACAGCCTCAGAGGCCTGTCCTGGACCGGACTGCCCTGTTCCTGTCTGGGCCCCTGCTGGTACTCTTGGCTTCAGCCAGCCACGGTGGGCCTGCCTGTCGCAGTGAAGGTAGTCAGCCCTGATCCTGCGGAAGGTACAGCCAGAGTACCAGAGGAGAGGCCTTACTGCCTCGGAGGGGTGAGGGTTACAGTGGATTCTCAAATCGAGCTTTTAACGTCCTCGTCCATGTGGTGCCAGTTTGGTCTTGGTCTTCCCTCTCTTGAATTTAGCCTTTCCTATCCTTGCTCCAGTATAATTCCAATGATGGATTAGGAGCCCAGGGCGTTAATAAACACTACAAGACAAGGTATCCCTCCAGCACCAGGACTGAAGATCAGACCTCTAGGACAATCAGGCTGGGAGTGATACAGGGATAGATTCAGGTTTGTAGCCCTGGTCCCAGACGGACATCGTGTCTTCTGTTTTTTTTTTGTTTCAGTCGGTTCTTAATTGCAGGCTAAGCTATTTCAGTTTTTATTCGGGGCACATTAGTACCTTTGCTTTCAGCTCTTAAAACGTCGGATGAGATTTGTGATTGCTCTCATAAGACCAGCTCTCATCCAGGTGTGCTGCCTGAAATGCAGCCAACCAGCCCTTCGCAGAAGGAAAGAGCATTTAACAGTTAAACTGCATTTAACTCTCAATGTGGGTGTGTCTGATCAAGTGTCACTCCCACAGTGCACCACCTGGATCGGCGGATCATCAACTGACCAACTAGAAAAAGCTGTTTAGTCAGAAATGACCAGCCACCACGGTGAGGAGAGGCTGTGTCGGGTTCTATGCCCTGCAGTCGTAGAACTGGTCCCTGGGGTATTTCCCACACTTAATGACTGGCTGAAGAAATAAGCTGAATAAAAATCTAAACATGTAAGCAGAGCAGTTCAGTAATCAGTTAGCACTGGAAATGTAGAGCTCAGCTGGAATGAAAAGCAGCAGACACAGTTTTGTGTCTTGCAAGACCAGAGCTGGGAAAATCCCCACTGAATTTCAAGACCAGGCTCTCACGTGGTCATACCTGCACCTACTCAGGACAGACTGAGACACATAGACAGGTTCCTCTGACGCGCACACCTGTCAGAGCGACTCCTGTTCAACACACACAGAGCACCCCAGCGCCCGACAGGAGAGTCACAGCCGATTGGAAGACCAGTGTTTCTCAAAAACATCATCGCAAGCCTGCAAGCATCCAGCCAATCACAGAAGTCAGGTGATTGGATAACGGATAATATTTACCTCGAACCCTCTGAAGTGTTTCAACATAAAAGCAGCAGACGGCTAGAATTAAAGTTCCTTGTATTTATTTATAATAGACCTTCCGCCAATACAGTACAAAACTTACAGTAGTTTATCTCCATTACACAAATATATCTAATTACAGTATGATACATATACAAAGGCTCTGCAGTAGTTTTTAATATTTTTTTTCATTTTTATTATTTAAAGCGATCCATACCATTCACAGGAAACAAAAAAAAAATAAAAACCAATAAAGGTTCTGAAAGGGAAGACACTTAGCGATCCACAATGAGTACAAACTGATAAAAACAGAAAGATTCTTCAAACAGGGTGGAAGCAACCGAAGACAGAGAAAGGAAAGCCAGGAGGAAAGACATATTGCACTTCTGGAGTTTTTATACATTAGTAACAAAATAAAGTAGAGCATCTTCTGTACAAGGGGTCGTCTGGGACAGCAGGAGACAAGAGACACTTTGTTCGCGACTCTTTGAAGAGCTGCTTTGCAAGAAAAAAAAAATACAAATTGGGCTCAGGTGCTGCCCAGTGCTGGTACCATTTTAACGAGGGCTCTCCTGTTGCCCTGGGGAACTCTGGGCCTCTTTGTAGAGGGTTTGTGGGCACTTCTTAACCACGGCCCAAAGCTCGCCAATGTGGTCAAATGAAGCTGGGTGCTCCAGCCTGGTCCCGGAGTGCCCTGATCCCGGTGGTCTTGCAGATCACCCTAACTCCCAGTCTCTCAGGATCACACACTCGTGTCAGTCACCGCTCAGCTGAGTGAGTGATTTGTTCGGATGCAGGAACACGGATCTTTGGGGCTGAAGATTTCTGAGCTTCTGGATTTAATCACCTACTTAACTGACTGCAAGTTTTATGATGCAGAAGATCCAATGACACCGATTGAGCCTGCCGCGCCAGAGCTTTGCAGGGCCAGGGTTCGAGGTGGCTGACTCAAGCAACTGGGAGCCAGAATGGGAGGAAGCCTGGACCTCTCCAGCGCCAGTGTTCAAAACCCAGCTGAGAACGGAAAAGTCTCGGGATCCTGTCTCCTCAGTGGCCTGTTTGGGT